ACATGAAGACACCATGTATAAAATTATAGGCCTATTAAATATCCATTAGGAACTTTATTCTAAGTTTCTGAATATTTTCTTAATTTTTTTGTTTAAAAATGCCTCTCTGAGATTAAATGTAATGGGAATAGGACAATAATTGGATTGAAGAAAATCTGATTCAAACTCAGTTGCGTCAAAAGCTAAATCTGTCTAAATCATAACTCTTTACATCATTTCTCTTGTTATTGGATGGATTTATTTTTATTTTAGTTGGTTCAACCAGACATTGTGGGTGGAGTTAGTTTAAAATAGACAAGATTGGCTATTTTAATTTGACAGTCCAAATTATTATTTTTTTTAAACCAGCCCCAAGCAACATGGTCAAAAATGTTACTTTTTTCTGAAGTCAACTTAATGGAACACACCTCAATTGGGACTGTTAAGCAATAGAATCTGCTCAGGTTCATTAATGCCTACACAAGTCTTTGAACAGATCAAGCGTTCTGTAGATGTGAGTTGACAGTAATTGATTCCAGCACTATGCAGAGAGCAATGCCTTTGGGCTGTTATCAATTCTCTGCAATCACCATTTCTCTGTTGAAGGTTAGCAAAGCTACGTTTTGCTAAAGACCACAATTCCATCACTCTAATAATGACTACACTGAATTATTGAGCACATTGTCATTTTAAGATCACGAAACAGGAGATATCTCAAGAGACAAGAACACAGACGAGGTTTCTTCCAGCTCATCAGCTAATGAGTGCTGCCAGAAGAATTAAAGGGTGAATTTCTCAGCCACAAAATCATGACATCATGGTGCATTTTTACATGCAAAACACACTGGATGCATTTTGTAGCATGCAACCTTGACACCTCAAAGGGAAATCAATAAAGCCATGCTCAAAATCCAAGTCAACTGTTTTTGATGGGGATGGAGTGATGACTCAAATGTGGCACAAAGTTAAAGAGAAAGATAAGTAGAGAACAAAAGATAATACCAAATGAAATAAAGACATACAATGATGAATGTTAAACATGGTCAAAAGGGTACAGACTACCGAGTATGTCTGGATATAATAATAACGCCTGAGCAGTATTTTTGTTTGAAATATTGTCAAGAATAGGGTTTCCACAGGTATGTTTGATCTTCAAATGCACTGGAATTTGTAGCAGTGTTATATAACAAATCCATCAGTGCTAAAGACAGAAACCTACAGTATTAGTTTAGAGAGCTGGATATAAATGAAGGATTGTGAAGCAATAACATCAGGATGACAACTAAACCAGGGCTCTGATCCACTGAAGTTTTATACTTCAACCCTGCAGTTTACACACACTGTCATCTGCACACTCACACGGACACTTTCAAGCATAAAAAATGATCTACCAGACAAACACAGTTTCATATGTTCTTCTGAAGCACACATGATAAAAGACTGAAAGACCTAATTACTAGGACAATTACTGTAATAACAGATGTGACAGATAACAGATGAATGCAAGAACATTCAGCAGTATGAAATTTAAATGTATTTTGTCTGCTGTTTATCAATGGTCGTATCAGCTCTTTGCTCTGGCGTAATAAGGATAATAAGTGTGGAACGTCAATGCAACATGAAAAATGTAAATAAAACATTCTATTGTTTAAAACATCTGTAATACATTTCCACTGTTTAATTTTCTTGTTTGTGATAAGTGGTGAAAATCAAGATGAAAAAAAAAGCCCTGATTCAGACTTAGGTTTCATTGTCTATTCCCTGACAGAATGAAACTATGGGCCTTGATTTTTACCCTTAAGTAACATACCAAACAGACTTCAACAAATTCAAACAACAATAACTTTCAAAGCCCCCTAAGCTTGTCGTCTGGCCTACACAATTAATATGGTCTGTTCTTGGTTATTCTTCTTGATCATAAAACATTAGAGGTCTTTATATTTTGACCTATATTTGTAGATACTGTAAACCTACAGGATGTTTGGAGCACCATATGACAGAAATGTCACATTTTGGTTTGTTTACACTACAGTTTGTGGATGGTAAGATTAAAAATATATAATTTTTTTTTTCACATGTAAAAACACTCTCAAAACAGTCACTTATGCTCAACAAGGCTGCACTTTTGATCAAAAATGCGTTTTAAAATAAATATTTTCTTTTTACATTGTAAAACATTTGTTATTATTATCAGTATAAAAACAGCTTTATTGATTAACATTATTGTGGCATCCATGATACGTTTTTCCAGTGTTCTTCGAAAAATCTTTTGTAACATTATAAATGTTCTTACTCTCATTTTTAATCAATTTAATGCATTCTTGCTGAATGAAAGTAAGTTCAAATAAAAATAACACTGACCCCTTCTTCTTCTTCTTCTTCTTCTTCTTCTGCTTCTTCTTATTATTATTATTTTGTTTTCTTTTATCATTTTCAAACTTCCATGTTTGCATGTTCCAATCAAGATGTCTGTTAATGTACTACAGGTGGGGATTATTCAGTGACCCTGTCTGCAGGTTACACAGATAAGCTAGCAGGTGGCCAAAAGTAACTGTCATTGTATTTTAAGTGAGTCATTGAATCATTTACCCAACTGATTTGTTAACACTGTACAGTTTTGATAAATAAAAAAAATCCCACGGCACACCATTAAGTGAAATATAGGGAAAAAACAAAGATAGAAAGGGAAAACTTTTTTTTTTCCAATAATTAAGCACTGCGTTGTCAGAGTTGGTATTGTGGCGTTATCAGACACTTGCACTTAACATTTTATGAAAATCAAGCTAAAATGGAGTTAACAAGATTTTTGACCAGCGAATGACGTAGATCTGTGTTTTATCTGTCATTAGCAAGTGCATCGCATTATGTACTTACATGTTATAAGATTTACTGTAGCAATATGGGCGCTTAGTTTTTCTTACTGTTTAATACACTTGGCCAAAATCTCATGATATAGCCTAAACGATGAAGCGCTATATGCACAGGATATTTAAAAAGGACAAAACTATATTGGCTACAACTTGACAGCAAATGCTAAGACTCTTCTCCGCTCTTCAAACACACAAAAAACATCAGCCTTTATAGACATAGTGTTTGAGTAAAGAAAACGCTGTACTTATTCAAACATCAGTTCTTTATTTACCCTTGCATTGCGAACAAGCGCATATCTGTCTCCAGTTTGTGCGCAGTGCTTCATTCTTAATGGAGGCGGGGTGAAGATATGAAGTTTCGCTGACAGTTTGAGGATCCATCCAATGGCTTTACCAGGTTTAGTGACAAGCTCTTTTGAATGCTTTTCATTGGTTAAATATTTGTAAAACCCTCAAACAGACATAAGGAAGACCAATAGGATTGATTTAAAATAATAATAACAAAATGTAATAGAGATATGAAGTTTGGATAATTTTCCACGGTACACCTGACTAGGGTATGGCGACTGCCATACTCTGCCATACGGAAACGCTGCCCCTATGTCATCACCACCTCGAAATAAATCTTGAGATAGTCTTCCCAAGTAATGCAGCAGGAGGCATTTTGAGGCTGATTTTGAAGGAGCCTTTGAAATAGGACAGCCGTCATTGCGCCACTGCATTCAGTCTTGGACGGCAACCTTCAAAGGATGCAGCCCCAAAATTGGGACATAACTATTGTCTGAATTCTGGAGAACAAAATGTTTTGCCTATTGTCCTCTATTCATTAGTACTTTGCAAATGAGGTTTCTATTACCCTCAGCCTCAGATGTCATGGTTTTCATATGAATTGAGTCATGAAATCACTACATCTGCTAATCTGAGCCCATTCATTGTGTGGTTAAATTAGTCACCTTTATCAATATTCATATCCTTTTTGTATATGCTTAAGCAAGTCTGTGCAAGTGTGTCAGAGTCACAATACATGTTACATCCACTTCATCTTACAGCCACTTCAAACTACCATTAGATTAACAATACAGTCAGGATGTAATACAGTCATAGAATACAAACAGGAAAAAAACACTCTTATTTTTATTTGAATGTGCATTCATTCCTCTCTCTATTTTGATTGGCTTACCCTAAAGAAATTGCATAATCATAATCACATAGTAAAAAAATAAATGATACATCATCTATGGGACATACTGTAGGTTCTGTGGTATGTATATTGCCTTAGAGCATTAGAGTGATTTACAAGTCAGGCAATAGTCTCCAGGTTTCACAGCGAATGTTAGGTTCTAGGGGTTTTAATAGTAATCATAATTGACATTAGCCCCGTGTCTGTAGGAACTGGGGTCCTGTTGGCTCATAGGTGCATTCTCATCATGATGATGCTGCCAGCCCTGGTCATTTGATCTGGCCTGGTCCATCCAATAGGAGAGATCAGTCTCCAGTCTCTGAAAATACATAATGGTGAAATGAGACAACGGATCATGTCAGGAGTTCAGTTTCAGTCTCAGGGGGGAAAATGGACAGGTTTTGATGAAAGAAATTTAAAATAAATAAATAACCAAAATTAGAGAGTTAAAGTGATAGTTCACCTAAAAATGAGAATTCATTTTTCATTCTTTCATCATTTACTCATCAAACCCAAATGAAGAAATGTAAGTACTGGTAATTACTGTATATGTACTATAATATATGTAATGTAACTGGTAATTTATTTTTCCATTCATTTGCAAAGAATATGGACTGAAGCTTCAAATAGAACACAAAAGCACTATAAAGGTACCATCAAAGTAGTCCACAAGACTTAATTCCAGATCTTATGAATTAATATGATAGTTGTTGTGAGGAACAATTGTAATTGTATTATATATATTTTAAAAAGTATGTTTTTCAAAAATTATCTTATTGTGTTCAGGCCACCAACAGGAATGTTCAGTGCATAAAGTCATTTTTCACATGGATTTGCCTGTTAAGTTCAATGTCTAAAAACGGCAGACGTTGAATGAAAATGCAAATTCAAGTTCTGACAGTAGGTAGAGCGCATAGAAAAATAGAAATACTCCAGTTACCCCATTCTGACACTTGCCTGTTATGGAGAAGAAAGGGAGTAAAAGTAATTACATGTTTTCAAACAGACATTCAGATTTGAATTGCTATGGTGTTCATCAAACAACAACAAAATACAAGAGTACAGAGACAAGAGATTTATTCAATTTAGCAATTCCATTCAATTTGCATATGTTTACGTCAAATTTCTTTAAAAAGAAGTATTATTTTTTCCTATATTTACCCAAAATAGAATGGTGAGTGCATTATGGAAGCCTATAAAGAGCCCTATAAACACATGTAATGTATGTTTCATTCATACTGGAAGCTGGAGGGCACCCTTGAACAGAAACTCCGGGGACGTTTTCATTTTTTAAGTTCACAAATTATCAATAAAAAAGTGATTCATATATGAAAACACAAGCTGTTCACAGATTATCAATAAAAAAGTGATTAATACATAAAAATTCTTACATATAGCCCCTTTATATTAATCGCATTTTTGTGCTTTTAAAATAACTATTAACTGATAGTTGATGGAGCCCTGATTTCGAGGGAGAACACATTTTCTCGCATTGCTGGTTCTAAAATAGTCCTCTCCTATTCACTGTCGTGTAGCAAAATAGGCCATTCGTGAGTGCCAACAAGTCGTAGTTTTATGTAACAGCAGTTGCACTGGGCATGTGACCAAAAACCTCAAATTAAAATGTTTATCGCACCGAATTCTCACACCGAACATTCGTTTTGGTGTGAACAGGCCTTTTCACAGAATAAAGTCAAATGCACATACACACAAGAGCAGCTGTGTCCAGCAGGCCACAGGTGTCAGTTGTGCCAGTGTTATAGTATGCATCAATAGTCAGCTGCACTGCACTAATCACATAGTGAAGTGTTCAAAGCACACTGGTCCTCATAATAACTATAGGCTTAGCTTCATTTGATTTTGCTGATAACTACTTGACATCCAATGGTTATATCAAAATTTAATTAATTCATGCACTTAAAAATAAAATGATAAGGAAGACTGCATGATAACGCAGTCAGTGTGAGTGCGAATGCACTTTTTGGATGTGTTATGACGATTTCACATACAGTAATTGATGCAATTTGTGTGATCACTGTTTTACTCACTGCCTCATCGTAGCCCATGTACATGAACTGCTGGATCCACTGCTGGACATCAGGACGGCTCCGATCCCATACGTTTCTCTTAAACCTGTGAAAAACTGACAGAAACTCTTTAGCCTTGGACTGCGACACTGCGATCTGTGCTTTGGGCCTGGCTTCCAGCTCCTTTGCTGTGGAAAGAGAACAGGAAAAAATCGAGGCCAGAGTCAGATATTATAGATGATTCCTATGCAATTTAAAACTAGTTTTACTATTTCAACAGACCAGAGGAGCAGGCCCCAGATCAGTGTAAAAGAGAAACGTGTGTTTTAAGCACAGAGGATGATAACAGCCTAAAGGGACAGAACCGCTGCCCAATTATCTCGCTCTGACGATGACACACAGAGACTGTGACCTGATCTACAGCCCAAAGCTTCCACACCCCCATGTTATAAATATCAGTGATGTCTTTAGTTTATAATCAGCCATGTTATTTTCCCTTGGAACATATCAGCCATCAATCTCTGTCAGCTTTGGAGGTCAGAAGCTGATGAGGAATTTATGAAGAAGGCTTATGGTTATTTCACAGGAACCCAAACATACAGTAACTGTAAGGCAGTAGCCATATGATTGTATATTTATGCATGTGAATCTACAATACAGAACTATTTTTTTTCACAGTTTTCATGGCATCTGTTGTATATGAAACCAGAGTTCTCATATCACACAATGCTACAGATGTTAGTCATTTAATAAAGTTAGTGGAACTGAGTAGAATTCCATTCTTTATCAAATTATTAAGTCTAAGCAATTTAATGAATCATATTTTTCTGATCTTCCTTGTTGTAAAATATATGAATGAGAGTTAAAAGCTCTATCCTTTACTTTGAATATATTTTTTTTTTTTTACAATTTACAATAATGTTTATAAGCATTAATATCTGCATATACTACTACATGCATTTTTAACATTTCAACTTGTATGAATTGACATGATTTAATGGACAAAAGTAAATTTGCAAATTATCAATGTATAAATTAACATTAAATGCTGTAAAACTTTAGCCTAGTGGAACAAGTAATCCACACGACTCCAGACCATCAGTTAACGGCTTGGGAAGTGAAAAGTTGTTTATGTTTATAAGAAATAAATCCATAATTAAGCCATGTTAACTTTACACCTTCGCTTCTAGCCAAAATATTAGCTAATAATCTATAATGATGCTTCCTCCAGTGAAAAAGTCCACCACCTGTTGTCCTCTCACATCAAAATCCACAGATATATAGATGGATGTGTTTATTATAAACACACAGCTTTTCACTTCACAAGATGTTAACTAATAGATTGTTAATTGATACATTTTCAGGCTTTTTTAACTATTGTAAACGGATTGAACTTTATTGTAAAATGTTACTAACAAAATCAAATAATATCCAAACAAACCAAATAAAGTTAAAATCAAAAAGAGAATCACTGAAACATTTGCTTTTATGATATGTGTTTATATTTCTTTGTATTTTCTAAAAGCTTCCACACATGATAGTGTGATTTTGTTACAGTCAAACCGTGTTCCTGCATGTACTGTACTTGTCCCGAGGGGGATGACCCTCATTCAGAGGTCTTCTCTGCACCTGGACTGCATTCCCACTGATAACAGCACACCTGCGTGCTCAGTTGTGTTGCTCAACAATAGTTATATGGCCTTCTACCATACCTGTGTGTAGCATACATTTATATTGTTATATTTTATTTATTTTGTAGCAAGTACAAATCCAGAGTGTGCATTTATTTTAAAGAAGACTCAGGAGCAAGTATTTTGTCTATAAAAGAGTTTGTGAGCAAGATACTTTTACTGGATTTTGGATGCCATTACATAAGGGGTTTTACGTAACTTTTAACCCCCCCAAAAAATAAAATGAACTTTTCTCAGGGTATCTTGCCCTGGCTTAAATCAAGTTACGCTAAATAATAAAGACTGTTTGTCTTCTTTTCCAAGAGATGTGCCATAATGAAAGGGGCAAATGGTCTCCACAACACAGACTCCAACTCAGACGGCATTATTCTTCTGGAGCGGGAGGGTCGTAACCCAGGTGGCTGGCGGAAGGGAAGTGAGCCCAGAAGGTTCTGGCCAATTCCTCAATCTTGTCATAGCCAGCGTGAGAACGCAGCTCTTCAATCCAGGCGAAAAAGTCTGAAGATGTCAGCGCCCAGTTAGGCACACTCCTTTTTTCCCTTGATTCAGCTATAAGCCAAGCAGAAAGGCAAAAAAGAGGTCAACACAAGAGATCCGAGAACAGATCCTTATACAGAAAATCAATGTTCAGTTCTAAATCATACAGTTTAGTATAAGGTACAATGGGAAAAAAGGACTTCCAAATTTAAAAAAAAAGTAACTAATTAGAATTCTTAGAATTATCACACATAAAACAAATAATTTAATATTTTTTTCTTAAAAGAAATAACTTTTAGATTTTTAGTTTTGTTTAATATGATTAAATCGTTAGTCTTTCAGCAACTATGGAATAAAAAGAGATTATATAACTAATAATCCCACCCCCCCATCATCATATTTTAGGACATTGTAGAACCCCATTGCACAAGTGAAACCATTTATAAAATGAATTTAAAACTCACCTTGGTTTTCCACTGCCTCTGTAAGGAAAATAAATAGAAGGACATTTGATATATAATTAATTGAATAAATATAAAAATATATATGTAAAACAGTATAGATGCAACTCTTTTAAGGCTAGGAACCAATAAATGTGAATGAGATGTAATTACTAAGTAATGTGTAAAGCTTGAATAGAAAGTGGCACATCTGGCAGGAAAGTGGACAGCAGTGGCATGACTTTCTAAATTACTGCACTGACCTTAATTTAAGACTAATCATTTCATTCATGCACCACTTCTGAAGAAAAATCTATTAAGTAATTTTGTTCCTAAAACTGAACATTTAAAATAAATGATAGCTGCATAGAAAGTAGTAGTTCATGTGTATGTACAGTGATCTGAGTGATTCTTAAGGTCTTGATTTAATGCCAAGGATATCACATTATTCATAAGCTTCCATTCATCTGTTATCCTTGTACATTACAGATTCTGTATTCGCAGTGGCGTGTTAAACTGTTCAACTTGCGCACTTGCACACACACATGTGTGCGCGTGCACACACGGGTTTAAAAAAAGCAGAGCTGTCTGTTTCTGTAAGCAGTCCCGTGTTTGAGAGGAACAGTTGAGCTATTGTCTGTTCTCAATGTTCTGCCAGTTTTCTTTCAGAAGTTTCAGCATGTTTGACAAAGCCAGAATATTTCAGCTAAAAAGTGCCTTAAATCTGGTAGCCTTTAGCTGTTTTTACATTATTTCTGCCATCTTTGCAATTCTTATCTAGTTCACAAAAACTATAAGAAGAATCCTTGAACTGAATGTAACAGCTCTTGAGAGCGAAAACAACATTTCAGTAACACTTTCTATGAAGCCTGTTTATAATGCATTATAAGAGTATTTTAATGCATTATAATGCATTCATAATGCCTTACAAAAACTTATATTGTATCATCTCATGATAAATTGTAGCAACACTTACCAGTATCCCACCTCAACAGTAGCAAAAGTTTCAACACAAACACAATAAGTACCTAACAATTCATTCTTTTTTACACAAATACATGAAGACACCGTAGCTACTTAATATAAAGTGTGACTGAATTATTTTATTGTAATAACAAAACCATATTGCATTGTTTAGATGCAAAAGGGTTATCAGTAATCTTAAACTAGCTCAAACTGAAATTAATATTAGCCTTATAAAAAAACACTCAAATATGAACAACCACTCCTGACATCTATAAAGATAGTAATATATTGTGCAGATCTTAAACAAGATCAAGTTATGAGAAAACACCAAGATATGAGAATTACATTATAATGTCTTAAGAATACCCATAAAATACATTATAAATGCAGGCTTCATAGAAATTATTACCAAAATATCAGTGCACACTGAAACATACAGTGTGAGTAATGGTGAAGATGTATAAAAAAATGTCAAAAAAAATTTGCATACACTATTATTCAAAAGTTTGGGGTCAATTAGAATTTTTAAGAACAGAAATATAAACTTTTATTCAACAAGAATCCATTCAATTGATCAAAAGTGACAATAAAGACTTTTACATTGCTAGAAAAAAATCTTTTTAAAATAAATTTTATTTTGAACTTTCTATTTATCAGCGAATGCTGAAAAAATAGTGTCATACTTTCCTCAAAAATATTAAGCAGTTTTAAAAATATGAACTATTTCAACATTGATAATAGTAAGAAATGTTTCTTGAACACCAAATCAACCCATTACAATTATTTCTGAATGACCATGTGACACTGAAGACTGGAGTATGGCTGATGATAATTGAGCTATTTTAAATTGTAACATTTCACTGTATTGCTGTTTCACATAAATAAAAAAGTCACACTGACCCCAAACTTTGAAAGGTGATGTATACATCCCCAAATTGTCAGCTTTTCTTACCTGAGAGACAGAGCAGTCCAAGCCAAACCAAACACAGGAAGAGTGAGAAACAACAGACGAAACATGCTCACCCACTGAAAGTAATATAGCAACAGACTAAATTTAAGGCTCTACAGTCATTTTTCTACCCATTTTCAAACTTCAAAGAGATTCAAACATAAAACATTTTGAAAGAAAAAAAAAGATTGTATTAAAGTAACCACAGAAATGAATCGTGCATTATTTGTCTGCCTAAGATTACCTGCAGCAGATGTTCCTGGAGACTGGTGTGTCTTGGTGCCCAGTCCTTTAAGTAGAACACCAAGTCTGAGCTGGAACGGTGTTGTTTACCTTTCACATGGACCTTTCATGTCATACCCTTCATTTCTTTGCTCGTTTACTCTATACCTTTTTGTTTGCAGGAGATTCTCACACTTCTCTCCACAGCTGAAAGAATCCCTTGTTAAAGTAGAGGCCGTACTGTCTAAGAATTCACAGACTGAAGAGATCTCAGAGAAAACTTTCTCAGGGTTTCAACCTCTCTTTTTTAGAATATAATGTTGTCTGTATGTGTGTCAGTTTCAAATAAACATTTCATGTGGAAATATCTCAAACTAACACATTGTAACACATTCCAGGATAGATTTGTGTACATATCTGTTGTAAATGAAGTTTTGTGTTGCACATAAAAAGTCTACTGAAAAGTAGATTTTAAATGTACAAAAAAGTAATTATCTTAAACTAATATGTCCCTTTAGGTCACAAAAGCACTTACAGAAAAAAACAGGGCCGATATTTTGATCAAGAAATGTTTTCTATACTGTAGCTGTGTTTGTGTTTCGCAATATTCTCATTTTATTATTTTCTGTGAGATTAGTAGTCATATATATATATATATACAGTATACAGTATATTAGGTCCATATATATTTGGACACTGGCACAATTTTCATAATTTTGGCTCTGTATGCCACCAGAATAGATTTAAAATAAAACAAACAAGGTGAAATTGAAGCTTAAATTCAATGAGTTGAACAAAAATATAACATAAAATGCTTAGGAATTACAACCATTTTTTTTATACACAGTCCCTCATTTTCAGGGGCTCAAATGTAATTGGACAAATAAATATAATCATAAATAAAATGATCATTTTTAATATTTGATTGGAAATCCTTTGCAGGCAATGACTGCATAGTTGGAGCATGTATAAGGCTGGGGAAGCCACGGGGACTTGGGGCAAAAATGGCACTAAATTGGACAAAAATGCCCCTGCACAAATAAATTAAATCTATTAAGTCTGTTGCTAACAAAGTGAATATGACTAGACAGTGTCGATTGCGGCATTAAATTAAAATCTGCTCATGTTGCACCGTATTTCATTTTAGGCGTTTTTACAGTGTTGCGCATTTTAACCAATCACACACAATTCTGTTGAGCCTAGGAATGCAATGGCCAATCAGAGGCATTGTTTTGTTGAGTGCGCGCGCGTTCGCTGACTGAATTCCGGAACTCTTGCGAAATCTCTTATCATAAACAACAAAGCGCAGATGTAAGTACAATGTAAGTAAGAGATTCATTTCACAGTGTGTACAGCTTCAGTGATTATAACGATAGTTTTGTTTTTTTTGAGTGTGCTTAAACTCGCCATAGATCAATGTCAGTGATAATGCCACTTTCTATATATAATTTATTCGCTTTTTGAATAACCGTGGAAAGGAAACGTTATATAATTATAAATTTCTAAACTTTTTTATTAAATTATAATCACGTTAAATACAAATTCAGTCCCATTAAACATTTTTTTTAGCCTACATGACACCCATGTCTGGTTCTTGACTAAAAAGACGGGTTTATGATGTTTATTACATTTGGCTGCTTTTAGCCTTGCCCTGGAGTTGGTTCACCCTCCGCATATGAATGACTGCGTTAAGTGTGGAAATCATGGACCTCACCAGACTGTTTCCTCCTTTGTGATGCTTTGCCAGGCTTTTACTGCAGCTGACTTCAGTTGTTGTTTGTTTGTGGGTCTTTCTGCCTTTAGTTTTGTCTTCAGCAAGTGAAATGCAGCTCAATCGGGTTGAGATCAATCTCGGCAAAGAGTAT